TTTGGTTGCTGCCCCAGGGCAAAGTGAGGAAGAGAACACGGCCACATCTATAGTCATAAATTAAACGTGCCCATGACCATTCTCACTGAGACTCGCTGGCACAGTGCACCTCGCACCCATATTATTAAACTTGTTTATCCTCAAAACAGGGCAGTTTGTCCAAACTGCCTACTGGTGATCTTTGGCTGGCATCAGTCTCTGAACTGTGCCCAGGTTTGGGAGCAGGTGAGCTGGCCTTGCAGCCCTTCCTCTCCTCTACTCCACAGGGTCCCTGCTCTGACGTGCCCCGGCTGCACAACTGCAGCTCAGACTGCCAAGGGCACTGCTAAGCCATGCGAAAGAGCTGTGTGAAAATCTATAGGAAGGCAAGGAATGTAAAACTGCAGATAGAGGAAGAGGAGTGTTGAGATGGGGAGGGCTGGTAGCTCCACATTTCAAGAGGGAAAACAACATGATGAAATGGTGTAAAATCCAAAAGGAAAAACTGCGAGTTTAGTAGGCAGTCAATGGGTGAGGGCCAACAGCTGGGTCATCTGTGTGCTGGTGTTGACATTGCTGGTGGAAGATGGCAACAACCACCCAACTGAGGGAGCTGCAGAGCCTGATCCTTCTCCTCTCACCGGTGCCTGCTTGGCCAGGAAAGTCTCTTCAGATGCTTTCTCTGAGGTGGCGAGTACTAATGCTCAGCCTAGTAGCTAGTTACATCTCAGCTATCTTTCTTGTGTGTTAGCCAGTAAATAATTGCTTCATACTCTGCATACATCTTGCTGGAAGAGTATCTTCGTGCATGGCTAAAGATGCTCAAACAACTCACTCAAAAGAGGGACAGTAACAGCCTGGACCTAAACCATGCCTGGAACTTGCGATGAAGGTGCCCCAGTGCTTTGGAACGTTCCTTGTGACTGTATCACCTAACCATACAGACACAGTGTGTCGCCTCCACACTCAAACCAGACTTGGTTTCCCTCTGGATAGTCATTTATACCTTACTTTAATGACCTGTGCTCAGTTTTCACTTGACCTATGCATGTTGTAGAAGATGGGAGTTTCTTTGTTTGCAGGGAAAAACTATTGAAGACACACCAGTATGGCACTGAAACCACCACCTTGCAAAGCACCTTTAAGTTTAAGCACATGAGGATCTTTGACTGACAGGAAAAAAAATAATTTCCTTGCTGGAATTACACAGTCACATCTCTCTACAGGATCCAATAGACTGATTCTGAGCTTAGCCACGCTGGCACACCCTGAGCTGCAGCTGGCAAGGCAGGGAGGGTCTTGAGCTACACACCAGCAGTGCCTCTCTCAAACTTGGTTTGAGCCATAAGATACCAAGAGGCTGAGCACATTAGCTCAGGAGCATCCCTACACCGACACGGGACACAGCTGCCAAAGCCAAGCTGGTCCCTCTGCCGCGTACTCAGCCCAGGTTGTGTTCACTTAGCACAAGCAAGCTGTGATCTGTTTTGCAGCAGAGACACACCTAGCATAAGCAGGACCTCAGTTAAACCATGGGACATTTAAAAGTTCAGTTCTCATTTTACTCCTCTAAGTTACATCCAACAATCCCATAGGATGCTGTTCTTATGCTCTACCTGTCTACTTTGCTTGTATACTAAAGCTGGGTACTTCTTTTATCCTCAAAACAGGTCAGCTCCTCTTCTGATTATTAATTTCTATATATTTTCTCTAAAAGCAGTAACCACAGCCCTATACTGTGGCTCCCTGGTACATATGACCAGAGCATAGGATTAGACAAGCTT